TGAAAGTTTCTTTAATAACTTGTTTGCTAAATTTGACTCCTACCTACAAAAGTGCTTTAATTCCTTAATTTGAAAAATACCTTAGCATATAAGCATCAAAGCAGTTTTAAGAGCTACAGAAGTGTCATCCACTATAAAAGACAACAGCAAATTAAATTGGGAGTGGGAGAGAGGAGGGAAAAATTATAATGGGTGTTTGTATAGAGGTATACAGAAAATCAGAGTATTGAGTCAGAAAGGTACATCTAGACTAAAGAAGGCTTTCTTTCAACCAAGTGTACTAACCAGGATTAACCCACTGTTAGATTTTGACTTGGCACTTGGGCTTTTTTATGGGAATAGCAGTTTGGGTTGCTCTTAGGTCAGGGAAATCCAGTATCTGTCACTGGGAGACCATATGTTTCCCCTCCTAATTCAGACTCATCAGATATTGGTAGGTGACCAAATTTTTAAAGCAGCATGTCTAAAAATATCACAGTGAAGTGAAATGTCTCCCATAAGAGATACCCAATGCAGAGAAAACCACGTCCTGGAGGTCTGGGGGAAGGACAATAGCATGAAGACACAGTTGAGTCCCAGTGAATGAGATCAACCACAAGACAGAGAACGCTGCATTTCTGCAATGAATATTATTGCCTCTGGAAGAAATAAAAGCTGGATAGCATGCAATCTTTATATTTCTGAGAGCTTGAAATTGTTGTCAATTAGAACACGGTGAACTGCCTGAATAAAAGACACTCCTCTCCCAGAAAAGCACAAAGACAAAACATCAAACTGGCAATAGAGCAAAGAAGAAAGAATTGATGCTCCCACACTATTCTCAACCTCTGTGAAAATTTTTTTCCTACTTGTTTATTCTTGTTCCATCTTATATAAGTAATCAAGCAACCATGCAAGATTTATTCTTGTTCCATCTTATATAAGTAATCTCCTACTTTAAGAATTATCAAAAGTGAGAATGATCAGTGCTGGAATTTCAGAAATTTGGTGTCTAATGACATTTAGTAGTTCCTACATTTAATTACTTTTTTTAAAATCCTTCTTAGCAGGGAGAACTGGATTAAAATCAGATTGTAGAACAAAAACTTAGGAGTGAGTGACCATGCCAGCCTTCAACATGTGAATGTGATATACAGTGGCAAGCAACCATAGGCAGTAGCTATGATGAAATGAATTATATTTCAAAAGGGAATTTCACATTTCCCAAGATACAACAGGGCATAATGCTGCACTGCTTCACACATATGTGCACAAGAATAGAATAGCCTTGGAGATGCAAAAAGCTTCAAATAAGTTAGAGGATGCAATATCAATAATATCTTCATTTTAAAATATATTTCTTGTCTGTTAACTATTTTCCACATATATCCCACCTTAAAATTCAGTGCATGCCTACTAATTGTCTCAGTTTAATGAGATGGAAATATTTTGCTAAGGAGGATGAGCTATGAGGAAGACCAAGCTCCTCCCTCCAAGCAATTGTAAATCTGAAATTAAGAGGCTCCAACTGAGGAAGCATGGAGAAAAAAAAAGATAACTGCCCTTTATTAAAGGATATGTGTGCATTGGCAGAACAACAAAAAGAAAACAAAAACAACTAAACAATAATCCTGTACCCTAAAGTCCCCTTCAAAAAGGAAACAGTTCAGCACTTTCCGCCTTTTGGTGCAATTCTAACCACGACTAGCAGGGGGCGCTGTTGGGCTCTGGCGGTCGCCGCGTGAGGGTCCCAGAGTGCAGGAGAAGCCAAAATGGAGATTCCCCCACACCGAGAAGGGGAAGGGGAAACAGAGGGGAAAAAGGGGCTCTTCCCACAAACTCACACCGTCGGCGGCTGGCTCTGGTCGGGACTACCCCAAAAGTTCCTTCGCAGAAGGGCCAAGCCTCTCTGATGAAATCTGAGCAAGTCCAGGCTGGGGGCAGAACAGGGCGCAGGAGAACGGAGGCAAACTGGGGCCAGAAGCAGCCAGATGACCCGGCCGAAAACAAAATGAACCATGGAAATCCCTCTATGAGAAATAAAAATATGGGTTTATAGGTGTATCGCGAAGTTGTAAGACATCCAAGTCTCAGAGTGGACTTGAGTATCAGGGTCTTTTTCGGCCGGTTAAGGGAAATATAAAATTCCTAAAAATTAAAATCTTTCGGGGCCATGTGAGAGTTTGGTACACAGGAGTTTCTTTTCTCTCTTTGGGCTAAGAACAAAGGAAGATCCATCACTTTTGACAGGGTATGGTCAGTGGCCAATTAGAAAGAAGGGAAAGCACCTTTTCAGAGAAAAGAAACCTTTATAGGTAAAAGTGAATATATTAAGCTTATCTGAAAAAGGTGGGATTTTGTAAAACTATAAAATGCATGAAATTTAAACCCAAAGGGTCTTTTCTCCCCAAAGAACTTGGTGTGAGACTAGACCCAGCATGCTGAATAAATTCTTTTTTTTTGTTTCCTGAGTTTTTGTCGTCCTTCTAAATTCAAGGGAGAAGTTTTTCTCACAGCTCCACACACACACCCTCCCTGAGTCAGGACAAAAATGGAGTCCTCCCGTTTCCTGAGGAGAGATAAAAAACTCGATCACCTCCATGCACACTCTTCTGAGGGCTATCAACCTGGAACGTGGGCTGTGGCCAGTTCTTTTGTGTGTGTCAATCACCCTAGGAAAAAGAATCACCATACCCCTCCCTCGTTCAACATCCCCCTTTCATAATGATGCAGGGAAAAGAAAAAATAATCCCACTTGTTTTTTTTACAAGTAAACCTATGGCATAATAAATTGAACAATTTATTAGATGGAGTGCATTGACGATTTCTCTAAGTTTTAAAATGAGCTAAATCAAAAATGGAGGAAGGTACTCCAAGAAATTCCTGGACAATTGTTTTTTCAACCAACTTCAACCCTTCCTTAAGCAGTCACGTTGCCTGAGAATCTACTGAAGGCAGAAGATTATTTCATTGTGGGATCTAAACATCAAGCAAATATTAATAGGCAATGGGAGACCTGGATTAAAACGGAAATAATTCTGTAACCTCAGCTATAGGCTTCTGCTCAAAGATTAAAGAGAAAGCAGTTCTAACAGGTAGAATCATTAGTGTCATTACACAATCTCCTCAGAACAGGTTTATTAAACCAACAAAGGTAGACCTGCATGCTTAGAAGAAAAACCTGCTTATGCCATTCCGAATCTTCTCCAGTAAAATAAATCCGCCTTTGTAAATGGGGACAGAGGAAAGGAAACTTGAGATGCAGGAGTGTAATAAACTCCACAACATTCCCTTTATCACTAGAGTTTTCTTGAAGAGTGTTCTTTCCAAAGAAAAAGATATACTGCAAGTATTGAACAAAGTACTGTACTCAGTCATGGTTTTGTGATGCAATCAGGTTTTAAACATTAGCGGGACAGTAATCTTCCTTACGGTGCCCATAGAAATGTGTGTTTTCAGCAAAAAAAAAATAGACACAAAGTCTATCACATCTGACACTGAAGACAGAGAGCCCGTGCCTAATGGGCTGGAGAAAAAGTCTAAAAGCAGTTCATATCTCTGAACTCCCTGAGCGACCCCTGTAATGCAGTTGCATCTAGCAAGACATATTGAGCAAAATGAGCAAGGGACGAGTGTGTCAATGACAGTTAAAACTTGAGCACTTGGTCAGTTTTCCAAAACATTTTGAGGCAAGACATCAGCTTGCCTCCTAATTCATCTGAACAGCCTAACGTGGTCACCTTCAGTACTGTTGACAGATTAATCTACATTCTGCTAAAAAGCTTAAAGCTAAAAATGTAGCGCTTAGCCAAGAGAGCTCTAAATGAGATACATTATTTTCTATCTGTGTTTAGACACTATGTGCAAAACACAAATAGGTGTAAACCTATAGTTACTGCCAAGGCTTTACCAAAGCTTGTAAGTGTTGTACTTCATACAGCCCTCAACAGCATCACATCCCCAATCTCCTTACACCACAACAGCATCAACAAGGAAGAGCAAGCAGTTGTAACCCCCAAGACAGCCATATTCAGACAGTGTGAATGAGACAGTCACATAACCCACTAGTCAAACTTAGGACAGATGCAGTGTCAGACCTCTTTATTGCTGGACACTGCTTTGAAAACAGTACTGGCTCTCCGAAACAGAAGAAATGACCAAGTGACAGAGGGATTACTTTGTTTCATCCAAACTCCAGCAGTCTTTTGCTTTCCAGGTTGTGGCCTCAAAATGTGGAGCACACAAAATCCAAGTACGAATTCAGCTTAGTGAATTTGTATGTTCATTCAACATTCAGTGAATGTTGAAATATTTACCCTAGAATTTTCTTATAGAAAACCCTGGCAATTTTGCTTCCCAGCTAGACTGCTGTCTAAACCAAAGCAAAAAACCCCAAACAAACCAACAACAAAACAATGGAAAAAAAAGAAGGCAAACCATGCAGGATGGACAAGTCTCCTATGAATTTTGTTGCTTTTCATTCAACGTGTATACACAAAACACTCCAGTTTTGTGTAGGCATGTCTTAGGGTAGGCATGTCCCTGTTCACTAAGAAAAAGGACCAAAATCACAGGAAGAAGATCAGGTTGGCCACTGTCTGCCCTCTGGCATGCTGAATACACCAGCCTGCCTGGTATTGAGAGGCAGCATCACTGGGAAGTCTGGTAAAAAACAGCTTTTCTTTCTGTTGACTGGAGCAAGTTACAATTAAGTTGGTGAAACAATCAAATTAAAAGGGGTGTGAAATTTAGAGGGGAAAGGAGAGTGAGGTAGAAGTTTTTTCTTTGTATTGTTCACAAAGCCCAGCATTGGTAAACTCTGAGAAGGGGCAGTGATACAGTGACATTTTCCCACCCTGCAGTTCAGGACTCTATTTATTGCTCCCAGCTGTGAAGCAAACAGAATACTACATCTCCCCCTGGCACATACTTTGTCAGCAGCAGCAGCAGCCTCAGTTGTCCCTTCTCTCTCAGTAGCATTTCAGGTAAAACTGAAGGAGTGAAATGACAGAGTCACTTCGGGATTACATCTGACTTGCCAAGCCTCTTCTACTGTCTGTGATCTGCAAATCAGGAAACAGATTGTTTTGTGCCAGGTTGTTTGCAAAGCTGGTAAGAAGAATTTGGTGGTTTGGCTATAGGCTCCCTGAACTAGGTTAAAATAAATTAGCAAGTTTTAGGATAAAATAACTTAGCAATTATTTTCTGATAACAGAAACAATTCCCTGAAGTCCCACTTCATTCTCACATTTCCCAGAAGAAAAATTTTGCGTGGGTCTTTATATAATAAAGAAATGGACTCAGCTCCTCTATGAGATGGCAATCAAAGAGGTTTATTCAAACTCGGCGCTCCTTCTTATCCCACATGACCTTGTAATAAATGGGGTTGTCTATTTCGGTGCATGTCCCTTGGGCTTCTCTGCCCTCAGTGTGTCCTCTGCACCTTTGGACACACCTCCTACACAAAAACATTTTTTGAGGGGAAATTACCTGCAGAAACAGCACTAGGTGTTTTGCACCCCTTTATTCCTTAAATTAAATGCCTGTAGTAATTATTAAGAGGCCAGCAAAATAGGAAAAGGATATTGCATCTTCCCATAGCAAGCAGGAAGAAAGGTCATCACTGACCTTTATATTGCAGTTCAGAAACCTTGAAACTTCTGTTGAACTTACTGGCACCACCCCACACACAGAGACCTTTGAAAAGCAGATCTGTGTCTCTGTTAAGGTCAATTCTGCCAGAAGTCTCCTCTCTCAGGGCTGGAGAAACTCCCAGAAGTCTTCCAATAAATATCCCACAATGAAACAGAAGAGAGGGTTGGTGTTTTAGCTCTCTTGTGATTTTCCTCAGTGTTCAGTGCACTAAGCAATAAAAGGCAACCTTAAAATTACAAATCAGAGCTATATATCAACTCTCCTTGGCTCCACCACAGAAAGAAAATTCTGAACTACATCTCTCCATATGCTCTCTTGCTCTCTGGCTGAGGACACCAGAATAACTGGTCTGCATTGAAATTTTGGCTTAAAAATATTGAGCTGTAATTTAGCACCTGCAGACTACTGTAGTGATGTTGCACAAAAGGCACGTATTCTTTTTTCTTAACTGTATTTCTAAGCAGCTTCTTACTGCTCTAACCTTTTTTTTTGGGGGGGGAGGGGAAGGAGGGCATTATAGAGATTTCCCTGGCATTGAAGAATGCAAATTCTGCCACAGATTTCAATACCCGGGATTAGTTTTAGCATCAGGGTTAAATCTTTAGCCTTCATAGCCTGAGAGGAGAAATTTTTGAAAACTTGTATCAGTCAGATCACTGGGGTTTTTACTCCATTCTAAGCCTGGTTTTGTCCCAGAAGACCTTAAGAGTTATGAAGTATCATTATTCTTGTTCCAATATATGTTTGTACCTGGAAACACTGAGGTGAATTCTAGTTCAATCTATTCTAATTCTGATTTTAAAATAATAACAACCCTTCTTATTTAACAGTCAGTTCATTCCTGAAATTCATTTAATCTTGAGATTCAAAGTATTGCCACTCAGATAAAAAAAGTTTTAATTTTACCCAGAAGCAGGTAGACTAGATAGGCAAAGCTTTCTTTTTTTCCTTTCCTTCTTATGCAAGAGTAGAACAGAACTTCAAAAGAGCTAAGGCAGAGAGGAAGGTCCATAGCCTTTACTGTCACTTGTTTTGAAAGGAGAACGATTCCCCCCCAGCCCCAGCCTTCAAATCCTCAGCACTGAATTCAAGCCCAAAGCATATTTCCTGCTGCAATTGGTGGAGGAGCTGAAAGACAGCAGAAAAATCCATGTGGTCTGACATGTTCACTTATCTTGAATCAATAGTCATGAAATAGCAGTACTAAGCTCTCATCTCTGTGTGTAATAAATAGGGGAGATGAGGTGGACACAACACACCCACAGGGGTGCTATACATCATCCACTTACATCTGGGGAGCGGCAAGAGAAGAAATTAAAGGGTTTTATGTGATACTGAGATAATTCTACATGATTTGCCTTTTATCCCTTCTCCTTCTGCTGTTAGCAATGTCAGCATCACTGACCAATTAATGGACACTTGAGTAATGCTAATCAAGGCAGAGAACACGCCTATTCGATGCATAAAGTTGATTTTGCTGCACCAACTTGTCTGCGGAGCACATGGAAACACAGGAAAGGCAGACACCGTGAGAAGCAGGGCAGACCAGCAGAGGGAGGCCCCGGCACTCCTGAGGGAAGGTGCATTGCCGGCACTAGCTCTGTCATTGACCAGCTGCCTGCATTGCCCTCTGCATCTATAACATGAAGACAAAGGTGTTTACTGCAATTTTAAATGATTTTGGGATGTGAAGCATGCATAAAATCTGTCTGGCAGTTTTGCATCCCTACCAACAAGTCCACTGTCTCCAGTTATAGGGGAAAGAAGAAAAAATGAAATAGTAATGGTTTCCTGCGCTATTTAGAAAATCATGCCACATCCCTGGGCCCTGAACTGCCTACTCATCTCTGCTGCATCCATTGACTACCAAATTCTATTTAATATTTCATTAATGTCTTGGATGATGGACTAGAACATATACTTGTAAAATCAGCACAAGGAGAGGGTGGTGCAAGCGGGCTGAGGGACTGAATCACAATCCAAAATAAACCTGATAAATTAGAGAGATTTATATCAACAAGATATATTTCGATAAAGACAGGCTCAAACCACTACACAGAGTAAAAAGAAACTGAAAACAGAAATACATACTGGTGATGCAGCCATGCAACAGAAAAAGAGATGAGACCTAAGTTTGTAACACAGAGAGGATACGTACACATCAACCACTGGACAGTGCAGACAAAAAAGCAAACTGTAATTCCAAGTACATTAATGTCATGTCACACACCTCCTAAGAGTTATTTTTTTGTCACTCCGGTGAGGCCTCAATATGCAGCCAGTTTTGCATGGAGTGCTTGCAATAGCAAACAGATTGATTTGACATAATCCAGGAGAAAACAAGAGGACTAATCAGGGTGGGGGAAAGAATTAGGAGAAAAGTTAAAGAGATTGATAGCAAACACAGAGGTTTTCTATGAAAGGAGGGCAAGAGGCAGCTTATTTGGAGTGGTCTTAAGAGATTATGGTAACTCTAATCATCAGAATCATGAAACATGGAAATTGGCTGTGTAGGACTGTTGTGGCAGCTCCATAACTGGAAGCTATTAAGGAAAAGGTCAGTAAGGTATAATGTAGGTACGCTTGTCTGGGCATGTCAGAAATATGGTTTCATGACCTATTGTGGTCCAGAAGAGCCCTGCCTAAGTCATAAAGTGGAAAATTCATATTTTTATCATGTACTGAAAATGTACTATGTATGATGGGAGTTCAGTGTCATAAAATTTTGTTGTTTCATTTTTTGGGGGGATAATTTAAAATTCTGAGAAATAACATTTATCTAGAGCCAGAAAAGGAACAAAAATGAGGACCAAGCATATTAAAGCCAGGGTAGGTTGAATCTTTACATAGTACTGAGATAGAGATCAAAGAAAATGTAACAGCAGGCAACATAAGAAAATGTGAGCAGACAAGAAGAAGCTACATAAGCCTAGAATGTATGAATCTGTGCCAACACAGCCTGCTGTGGCAGATTACACTGGCATGCACAAGAGAACTCTTGCCTGTTTGGTGTTTGTTCATTCTTTCCCTCATTCTTGCCCTCAGTGCGGAAAACATTCAGCCCTTGAATTTCAAGTGCCAGTGTTTGCCAGCCCCTTTTCTGATTGCTTCTTCTTTGTTAAAATTACAAGCTCTTAGCAGTAAGCACATTGTTTCATATTATGTTACAAAACACCCACCACTGTGCTGATATTCTAACAAAGACAGACAAGACAATGGTATTTCAAAAGGCTGATTAAGAGAAGCCATTACTCATCTCCAGGGTCTCAGAGAATTCCCTTCAGGAAGATAAATAGTGCTACAAATATAGGCCTTTGCAAATAAGGCACTGAGATGATAAGAACTTAATTTCCATAGGAGGAAAGATACACATTTGAGTTATAACTGCTTTTATTTCTTGTGTGGGAGCTTCCAGCCAGAATTTAGCTGCAGCATCACTGAGAAAAAAAAAAAAATTAAAAAGTTGAAGTTATATTAAAGCATACGGCATCTATACATTACTGAAGAGACTTTGGCAGTAACCACCATGCAATAAGAAAGTATGTAGTTAATGCAGAAGTCCACAAGCAAATAAGTTTGTTGAGGGATATGAAACTGGCCGAACTAACCTTGAATCTTACATGAATCTTCCAAGCTTCCAATCTTCCATCTTCAACCACTCTGCCTCAAACAGCTAAAACAAAGGCTCGCACTGGAAAAAAGAAGAGGCAAAATAGGCAGTTCATGAGTTTCTAAAGACTCATGAAGACTAGTTTCCCCTTAAGGATTTACTGGTATTACTGGAAGTTAAACATGTGCATCCAGAGGAGAAAAGGACTTCAGGTGTATAATCTGCAAAAGTAATGAATGTTCAAAAAGACAAATAGATGAACACTGTGTGCTAAAGGGAGAAAGGGAAAGTGCAAGTTTATGCTATTGAAGTATTCTGCCTTCTGGTTTTAAGAATAAGGCCCATCTGGATTTTTGAGCATTTCACAACAGTGTCAGAAAAAGAAGTACTGTAAATAAAAGTTCCAATTTAAATTACTCCAGTATGTTTTACGTTGTTTGTGGCATTAAAATTCCACTGGGTAGGAAAGTTTGCAGGGTAAGTACACTTTCTACAAACATATATTTGTTTCTCTTCCTACAGCTTAAAGATGTAGCCATTATAAGAATTCTCATAGGCACCATTTATACCAGTGTAACTAAGTTGACAGCCTTCACATACTGCATGATATGTTTGACTTGAGTTCTTCCCAAAACTACTAGAACTCCATCATACAGAAAAAAAATTGTCTAAACAGTCCTAGCATCTTTTCCATTCCAATTCGGGAAGCTGGGCAATGGATCCTTGTGCTGGTTTAAGAGTTAACCAGCAGGAGAAATGAACTCAACTCAAAGGAGAGATTATAAGTCAGAATAACAATTTATTAAAATAATACAGTAAGTACAATCATACAAACAAACAATTGGTCTTAACCCACAAAACCCAAATGTATAACCCAGTACCCTGGGGCATGAACAAAGTGGTGTTCCTTGGGCCCCACTTGAGTCCAAAGTAAAGGGAGAGGGGAAGAACCTGCTGGTGGGAGAGCTGTTGCAGTCTGGTCAAAAGTGGTGATTGCAGTCCAGTATAGGGTGGTGGTCTAAGTCTGGTTGAGAGCGATGAGCTGCAGTCTTCCTCTGGATCCCACGAGTGGGTTAAAAATATTCCGAGACTCCAAGATTATATATCCTCCAGTTCAGGCAGGAATGCTCAGTACTTCCCTCAGGGCGGGGAGTTCCACAAAGGGTGTGAGGACAAGAGCATCCTCCTATCTCACAGGCCTCTTAACACCTAGTTTATAGCCTGAGGAGTCAGGCTCTATGGGCAGAGGGTGCGAATAGTCTATTGACAACAGTTTCTGGGAAATGGCATGGAAGGCTATAGAATACACAGTTTTGGGTTACACCCATACCATGATGAACTGGTCTCAGCTGTCCTAACTAGGACATTATCCACCCCTTATTCTATGCCATCCATGTCATGCCCATATTAACCCCCTTTAAAAACTATATCCCTTTAAAACTATATACATCTATATATATATATATACAATGAAACATTACAGACCATTCTCACTCAAAATTAGGTCCCCTTGTGGTACACAACGTGTCTCCCCATCTTTTTGCATTACTCACCAGGTGGAACCAGGTCTTTGAGCAAAAACAATCCCTCGGATGGGTTTGCCTTTGCTTGAGGTGGGACTAATCCAAACAGTCTTCCCTGACATTCCTCTCATATGTACCACGGGGACTTTATCTCCATCTACAGTATGCAAAAGTTCTGATTGGGCAGGGCCAGCTCGATTGATGGAGCCTCGGGTGTTGACCAACCAGGTGGCCTTTGCTAAATGCAGCTCCCAGTGTTTGAGAGTCTCCCCACACAGTGCCTTCAGGGTGGTTTTCAGCAGTCCGTTGCACCGCTCAACCTTTCCAGCAGCTGGTGCATGGTAGGGGATATGATACACCCACTCAATGCCGTGCTCTTTGGCCCAGGTGTCTATGAGGCCATTCTTGAAATGGGTCCCATTATCAGACTCAATTCTCTCCGGGGTGCCGTGTCGCCACAGGACTTATTTTTCAAGGCCCAGGATGGTATTCTGGGCAGTGGCATGAGGCATGGGGTATGTCTCCAACTATCCAGTACTTCCTTCTACCATGGTCAGTACGTAGTGCTTGCCTTGGCGGGTTTTGGGGAGCGTGATGTAGTCAACTTGCCAGGCTTCCCCATACCTGTACTTCGACCACCGTCCACCATACCATAGAGGCTTCACCCGCTTGGCCTGCTTGATGGCAGCACATGTCTCACAGTCATGGATGACCTGAGGGTTCGCTGCGTGATCAGAGCGATCCACTTACTCCACGTGGCATCGGTGGCATGATGTGTGGAAGGAACTCTTCCCTTGAACATCCAGCCCAGCACTGGTAGTCGGGGTGCCAGGAGGAGCTGCGCTTCGGTGCCGATCACTTCTGAGGCAGCTCGAACTCCTTCATAGGCAGCCAGGATCTCTTTCTCAGTTGGTGTATAGCTGGTTTCAGATCCTTTGTATCCCCGACTCCAGAATCCCAGCAGTCGTCCTCGGGTCTCCCCAGGCACTTTCTGCCAGAGGCTCCAAGAAGGGCCATTCTCCCCGGCTGCGGTGTAGAGCACGTTCTTCACGTTCTGTCCTGTCCTTACTGGCCCAAGGGCTACCGCATGGGCAATCTCCTGTTTAATTTGTTCAAAGGCTTGTTGTTGTTCGGGGTCCCACTGGAAATCATTTTTCTTCCGTGTCACAAGGTAGAGAGGCCTTACAATCTGACTATACTCGGGGATATGCATCCTCCAAAAACCCACAGCGCCTAGGAAAGCTTGTGTTTCCTTCTTGCTGGTTGGTGGGGACATGGCTGCTATTTTGTTAATCACCTCCATTGGAATTAGGCGGCGTCCATCTTGCCACTTCACTCCTAGGAACTGAATTTCCTGAGCAGGTCCCTTAACCTTACTCCGTTTAATGGCAAAACCGGCTCTTAGGAGAATCTGGATTATCTTCTCTCCTTTCTCGAAGACTTCGCCCGCCGTGTTCCCCCATACAATGATGTCGTCAATGTACTGTAGGTGCTCTGGAGCCTCACCCTTTTCCAGTGCAGTCTGGATCAGTCCATGGCAAATGCTGGGACTGTGTTTCCACCCCTGAGGCAGTCGATTCCAGGTGTACTGCACACCCCTCCAAGTGAAAGCAAATTGTGGCCTGCACTCAGCTGCCAAAGGAATGGAGAAAAAGGCATTGGCAATGTCAATGGTGGCATACCACTTGGCTTCCTTGGACTCCAGCTCGTACTGGAGCTCCAGCATGTCCGGCACAGCAGCACTCAGGGGGGGTGTGACTTCATTGAGTCCACGGTAATCCACCGTCAGCCTCCACTCTCCGCTGGACTTACGCACTGGCCATATAGGGCTATTAAAGGGTGAGCGAGTCTTGCTGACCACCCCCTGGGTCTCCAGTTCACGGATCATCTTATGTATAGGGGTCACAGAGTCTCGGTCGGTGCGGTATTGCCGACGGTGCACTGTTGCTGTGGCTATCGGTACCAATTGTTCTTCAACCTTCAGCAGTCCCACAGCAGAGGGGTCCTCTGAGAGACCAGGCAAGGTGTTCAACTGTCTAATTCCCTCCGTCTCCACAGCAGCTATGCCAAAAGCCCAACGAAGTCCTTTTGGGTCTTTGAAATACCCACTCCTCAGGTAATCTATGCCAAGGATGCACGGGGCCTCTGGGCCAGTCACGATGGGGTGTCTGTGCCATTCCTTCTCAGTCAGGCTCACTTCAGCTTCCAGTACAGTCAGCTGTTGGGATCCCCCTGTCACCCCAGAAATGGAGATGGATTCTGCCCCTACGTATCTTGATGGCATTAAAGTACATTGTGCGCCGGTGTCCACTAAGGCCTTATATCTTTGTGGCTCTGATGTGTCAGGCCACCGAATTCACACTGTCCAATAGACTCGACTGTCCCTCTCCTCTACCTGGCTAGAGGCAGGGCACCCCTAGTCCTGGTCATGGTACTCATTGTGCTCTTCAAGTGGGTATGACTTGGAGGTCCCTTCAAGAGGATCAGACGTATCATCATTCCTGTACCATCTGGAGTCTTGCCCACGAGAGACTGGAGCAGCGTTTACCCTTGAATAGTTCTTTATGGTATTTGTTCCTCTTTTCAGTTCACGTACCCGGGCTGCTAAGGAAGAGGTGGGTTTCCCATCCCACTTCCTCATATCTTCTCCGTGCTCATGGAGGTAAAACCATAGATCGCCACGTGGAGTGTACCTTCTCTCCTTAGCTGGGGGAGGCTGGCTCCTAATAGCAGAGACTCTTGTTTGTCCTGGCGAGATATGGGAAATCCCTTCCTTAATTTCTTCTCTTAACTTCTGGTGTCCCTCTTCAATTTTCTCTTCCAGGCTTCGGACGTGTTCAGCCAGTTTGGTTTCCACAGATGAGACGTGGGCTCGTAATGGGGCGGTGACAGTGTCTTCATACATCCTGAGTTTACTAACCAATGCTCCCACCTTGTCCTCTCCCTCCCTCCATTGCAGCGTTGCTAAGTAGCGGGAATACATTTCTGGCCCGAGTCGTGCAAACTTTAACCACATCTGGGAGGTGCACTGTACGCCATCTGGACTTTTAGGGAATCTTTCATCCTCTGAAAAGATTATCTCTAGTACAGCTAACTCCTTTAAGCACTGGATACCTTGTTCCATCGTGTTCCACTGTCCTTGCTGTACGTGGAGGTCCTCCTTGCAAAGGTATCTTTCCCTCACACTGCACAACAGTCGCCGCCAGAGGCTGAGAGTTTCCTGCCTCCTTCCAATCCCCTGATCAATAACTACATCTCGAGACAGGGACCCCAGCTGTCTGGCTTCACTCCCATCTAGGATTGTATCGTTAGCTGCGGCATCCCAGATTCGGAGCAGCCAGGTCAGAATGGACTCGTTCGCCTGTCGTGTGAACTCTCTCCGGAGCTCACGTAGCTCACCCAGGGATAGGGACCGAGTGATTATTTCTGGCTCTGTCTCCTCCAGTGGATGTGAAGGTCCTGCCTCTTCATCATCATTTGCTATACGGACTGATTTAGTCTTTGATTTCCTTTTCTGGATAGGGGCGACTACTATTGGTTTTGGTTGTTCTTCTGGCT